TTTCATTCGCCACACAAACGGAGGCCCCGAACCCGAAGCACGTTCGAGTTGTTGCACGTTTTTCCCTGAGATCCACCCAGGAGGAAATCACCCATCGTGATGGTCTCTAGTTTGTGCCTATCTGGTTCCCAGTTTCCTCCCTGTTTTTCCAAGTTCTGAGGCCCAAAATGGCCAGTTGGGCCAGAAAAGGACTTTTCCACGCCCTTTTGTAAATAGCCACGATTCCCTTCGATCGTCATCATCCGGCGCTACTTGCTTCAAGGCACTTGGCAAGACACAGCCAACTTCTCAAATATACAGCTCTGCTTCCCATGAGGGTGGGGGTACCAAGCAGGGGAAGCAAGCCACAGAGTAGGCTTGACAAGAGTATCGCTGTAATAAGGGATGTGACACGCCCCAAAGTTCAAATCCGTCGTGTGCACAATCCACCAACACGCGCATGCAACGCCTTTGTCGCCCTTTCTGGACCAGCGACCACCCACCGGCTGCTTTCGGTGTCCCGATTAAGGACATGCCAATCACCCTTGCCGCACAGCTCAGCGTTCGCACAGGCCACGACGCTTGTTGCGCAGGCCATGCAGTTGAGTCGATGGGGAGCCGAGCAGGAGTGCTTTCTCCCCACACAATTGTTGCCGCTGATACATGCGCTAGCGACCAGCGAGCTGCGCTCTGCTGAGCTTCACATACCCAGAAGGCAAACATTTTTTTTCTCCATCTCTCTCTCACTCTTGTTCGTTTTTTTGGGGCATGGGGGAAAACCCCTCGTCGAGGCGCGCTCCGATCCTGCTTCTCGAAGACAGTACAAGCGCTCGCGTTTGCGGTGGCGAACTTCCCCTGTTGGGGTGGGGGAGCCCTGATATCAACCCCATATCCCCCTTCGAACCCAGGCGCGGCCTCCCCACGGGGTAAGTGGAAAGAAAACAAAAGTTGGTGGTCGGCTTACGCGACTGACACTCAACTAACCACAAGCAAGTCCCCCAAACCACCCCCAACACGAAACCACGAAACCCAGAAGCCTCCCGAAAACCTGCTCCACACCTCCTCTCTCTCTCTCTCTTTCTCTCTCTGTCTCTTCTGTCACTCTCACTCACTCTCTTCTTCCTTCTTTTTCCGCAGCACATGATTCCCCCGAAGGGAGATCGCCCCTTGAACCGTGCACAACCGATCTGTGTGTGAAATAGGTGCGGTTTCGCCTTTTGAACCGTGTTTTGCGTGTGCTCAATTTGCTTGAGATTTTAGAGTGGCTTGCTGTTTACTTTTGAGTTTTCTCGCTCGCTCCTCAAACATCTGAGTGAGCAGCAAAACTGTTGCCCCACCCGACCCACCCAAAAATGGGAAGCGTGCAAACCGGGTACGGACGCGGCCCATTTGGGGGTACGGATGCGGCCACTTGCTTGGTCCATTCTTGGATCGGGAAGCGATTCCGGACGCGGCCACTTTTTTGGTCCGCTTTTGGATCGCTTTAGCGATTCGACCGCATGCATCGTGCGTGCATCTACACGCGTTCGCCTGTCTGCGTGAATTGGTGCCCGTGATTGCGAAGGGAGCCTTGGAGGAGAACAAGGTGCTGGCAAGCGGTGCAGAATCAGGCTGCAGGGCTGGACGAGCCGGTTGTGAGCATCTTACGTTTGACATTTGGATCTTTGATCTTTGCTGCCGGTCTCCATGGTTTCTCAAGTCTTGGGAAGAGCCTGACAATTTTCTTTTGCTTTTCGTGGATGTCTGATTGGGGGGAAGACTGGTATCGTACCAGGCCCTTAGGCCTCAGTTCTATCCAGTCCTCCTCGGAAAGATGCATCGGACTGAACCCACCCATCTGGAACTTCTTCGGCCCACGCTACAACAGAATCTCTCGCGCTTTAACCCGCGGAGCAGCATCCTCGGGCTTCGGTTGCAAGATTGCAAAGTTGACAATGTCTGACTGAGGTGCGCAACTGGTCCTAGTGTGTTCCAGGCCTTGCACACACAAAGGAAGGAGACTCCACAAAAGGGACGAGAGAGGAATCTCCAAGCCCTCTCTTGGCCATTGGGCTTTCGAAGAATATGCCCTCCCAGCATATCTTGGCTCCAAGGACCAAAGAGCTTGCGATTTTAGTTCCTCGAACTCGGGCGGGGCGGCTGCCATGTATCGCAAGGCACTGGGATCATATCCAAAGGATTTGGGAATGGTTTAGGGGTTCAGAGGATTCGCGACAACCTTCTCTTGAGTAGAGGCAGGCTGATGCCAAGTCGAACTTGATGTGCACTGCTTGTTGTCCGTAGTGTTGAGGTGTGATCCTGTCCAAAGAGGTGCGAAGAATAAGTTTGGAGGGCAGGTCCTGGGTTGCGCGGTGTTTCTGCTTGGAGGCTAGTTGTCGGGTAACTGCAGCGAAGCCCATTCGAAACTTGCTTAGAACTTGTGTACGGTTGCTTATGAGCCTCCGCCTCTGAATCAACCAGGTGAAAATTCGCCACGCGTGAGCGAGTTTCGCCGCTGCGTTGGTGTTGCACGTGCAGCTTCATCTCTTACATGGGCTGGAAAGGATGAGGGTCCAAGGGGGAAGGCCGTGGGGAGCTTCAGAGCACTTTGGGCAACTCTTCGTGGGGTGTTGGGGAAGTTGACGGTCGATCCAATCACATACGATTTCTTGGACCCTCCTCCCGCAACACGCCCACGACATGAATCGTGTAGCTCCACATTCCCGAACCCAAGACCCAGAGAAAAGAGCACAAGGATGTGGTGTGCTTCAGATGTAGGATTTCGAATACGAGAAGGGATTGACATAACAGGTATCAGAGCGCCCCATCTTTGTTGCGTGACCCCATTCAAAATGTAGAACCAGAGTCCTAACCTGGGATCCGCGGCCGGTCGGCAGAAAGTTGCGAAGGTTTTGCAGAAGATTTGCCCCTAAACCCCAAAGAACCCTAAAATCCTTCAAAACCCAAAAACATTTCTCAAAAAAACCTCAAAAAACCTACAAACTGAAAAGCCTCAATTCCTTAAAAAACTTAAGAACAACATGGATTGCACTTCGTGCCTTCGTCTGCGTGCGCATTTGGCGCGGAAGTAGGCGTGAATGTGCCTTTGGCCGTGCACCTGCCCCCCACCCAACCACGAGTTACCCGAACCCTAAACCCGAAACCCTAAACCTTAAACCCTAAACCCCAACCCTAAACTCTAAACCCTTCTGGGTTCACCACAGGAACATCCTGCCAGCCAGTTTCGTTTCTCCTTCTGAGTATGAGCTCCTTTGTGGAGAGTGGGGGGGGGGGAGCTGGCAGCTTAGATCATCGGAATGACCAGAACATGCTATTTCGATCGATCCTGCGCACTGAAGTGCGGTTCTGAATGCTTGAGGAGAGAAATCTTGAAGCATGCAGAAGAGTCACCAAAGGAACGAAGTTACCATATGACGCAGGCTTTGTTCCATCAACAGCAGTGAGGTGCAGGGTTGAACTCCGGGTAGCTTGTGACCTTTCGGCGTGCCGACTCTGGAAACGCTTCTAAGAGGCGAATTCGCCACGCGCAAACAGGTGAAGCTGGCTGCGATGGTGTCAATTCGTTGCATGTCGCGCAAAGGCGCTGCAGCCAACCCCTGCGTTAGTGGCCTTTCCCTGAAGCCGTAGAACATCATTCTCTGCTGGCTCCAGGTGTCCAACTCGTCCAACAAGGCGGCTTTGCTCCTCAGGATTGCTCAGCGTAGTAGGCATTGCTACTCTACTGAGACACACAAGTTTATGGTCTTTAGTCTCTAATCCAATCGCATGGGCCAAGATTGTTGATTTGGGTGGTGGTAAGTCCTCGTGTGCGGTTCTGTGCGAAGTCATAGGCAAGAGTGTCAAACGTCTGAACCATGTGTCCTATTCATAAAGTTGACCAGAGCTCACGGCCAAATTGCAATTATGTCTGGAATCGTTCGCGAGTTGCCTGAACGCTTGTTAGGTCTGCAATACGTACGGGTCATAGGCTCACCATGATGTTTTCTTTGCTGCCACGATTCTTTACATGCAGTCTGGAGGACTGCACTTTGAGGGGGCAAACAAACGATGTCTGGACGTCATAAAAGGGTCAAAAGCAGAATCGTGAGATGTAGACATGGAGAAGGTTTCGAGGGGATGGGCTTCGCCTGGAACCCTATACCCAGCCAAACCCTCAACGTCAGGCGGATAACCGTTGTGCAAACCCCTGCGGAGTGGCTTTCAGTCAGCTATGCGGGCATGTGGGCGTCAAAGAAAACGCTGCTGAGGTCGGCTTTGGAAGCGCGGCGCCGCGCTTCGGAGGCCGCCCTGAGTCGCCTGAAGCGGGGGGGGACTCCAATCCAGGGACTCTCCACAAACATCAAAAAGGCTTTGGGGATGTTTTCGGGTTTTTAAATACAGTTCTCCAGACCTTGACCGTCAAGAGCATAAGAGTATGAGCCAGCTCCATTTGCCGGAAAGCCGTTTGAGGCTTCAAGGTGCCGCCGTGCGTCAGCTTACGTCCAGAGGGAGCTTTTCGTTGTTGCCCTTCACCTCTGAGTCCATGTTCCTTGTGGCTGAGCACTCCAGCGCACAGGATCAGCTCCTGCACGCCTGCCTGTCCTCTGCCGAACGCCCTTTCCACCTACTCCTTTTTGAGGAGATCGACAGATGTTTTTGAGTGTAAGGATACGTAGTTCTCGGTGCGCGCGACTTGTGCCCTTTGCAAGTATGGTGGAGTCCCGCAGCTCGTTGTTCTTTGTGTGACGTTTCTGGATGAATTCTCGTGCAGCGCAGGTCTCTCAAAGAAACAGAAAATTGAGGCTAGTCTTAGAGCTTATCAATATTCGCTCGCGAACATTCTCTGCATAACTTTCGCATATTGGGCCTCAAAAGAGACATCAAAGCCATGTTCCAACTATTGAGGCTACAGTTGCTCAGGATTGCGGTCACACTTCTTCACGTGAGCAAGCCCTCGAGCACATCTTGAGATCTATCTCAGGTGGTGTCCCAGTTTTGTAGCAGTCTCTGGAAACGTCGTCGAGTATTGGCACTGACCCCTGATGCTCGCCGTGTTTACGGCCACATCGTTACAAGGTTCCCTGGCATGAGGCCCTAACCCTAAACCTGAACAGCCCTTTTGCAGGCCCGTCCAAGAACTGCACTACACCAGGACCGCTGAGAGTGCTTGCGCTGAGGGTGCTTGCGCCGAGAGTGCACGAGTGCCTGTGGTCCCAGTTGAGGGTGGGGGTCATCCGTGTCCGCTGTAGAAGCCCTAAACCCTAAACCCTAAACCCTAAACCCTGAACCCTAAACCCTGAACCCTGAACCCTGAGCCCTGAACCCTGAACCCTGAACCCTGAAGCCTGAACCCTGAACCCTTAATATTGGGAAGCAGTTTCTGTATATACCCTCGAAGACATCAGCTTTTTGGGCTACAAAGTGGTTAAAGCCTCGAGAAAGCGTCCGAGACCCCAAAGGCCCCCCGCAGAAAGGGGGCATCACGAGACAACAAACAGGGTAGACCCTAAACCGTAAACCTTAAAGTACTTACTTCCCCAAAGAAGGTTCTACTGGTCTTGGCTTGAGTGGGTTCGACACGGCACTAGGGTCAAGGGTTACGGGTGTGGGGGTTTCCGGTTTAGGGGGTTTAGGGTTCAGGGTTTCGAATCGCGTTTCATGAGTTTCGAGGAAGGTCCATGTCCATAAGCAATGTGTAGGCTTGTCAAGGAACTATTGGCAAAGATCACGGCTGCGTGACTCAATGTCATCAGGGATGTCAGTTCACGATCCCCCCCGAAGAAAGACTTGAAGCGCTGACATGTTGGAAGTTCCCTTGGCAGGGCCGGGGTCCTACGACATCCCTCGCTGGGCTGACATGAAGCAGCCTGGCGGTTGACCATATCGCCTAGTGAGGAAGAGATGAGGATTTGTGCGCAAGGTCAAGGCATATTGTAGGCTGTGAGTAGGCCGAGTGGAAGACATGCCGGATGAAAGGGCTGCGCGGGCTCATGCTCTGTCGGTTTCTTGCGGATATCTGCTGTGGGAAGGTTAGGTGGACACTGAGGAGCTACATGAGCTTGGAGCAGCCAAAATGTAAAAGAAGTGCATCCTAGTGGTGGGTCCTGGCTTGGGCTATCGCTGCAAGGTCAAAGCAGTACGCAAGACCTTACATTGTAGCTCGACCAACAACTATGGCAAAGAGCCATGGGGGGCTTTAGCATCCGGATGTCGAGCTATGAATATTCCTGACTTATCGTTCAGTTTACAAAAAAAAGCTGTTCTAGGTAAGCCCCCCATTTGCGGTACTTCTCGATCTTGCTCGAGGGAGGAGCTTAGAAGGAGGACACCAGCCATGGACTTTGCTACTAGCATTCTGACCCTGTTCTCATAATCCGTATTCTTGTTGCATGAAAAAGAGCCTCGAGGCCCCTCCAGCCGACACACGAACACCTCAAACACCCAGAGCCCCCCTTAGACTATTTGCTTAAGAACCCCAAAAGAATAGAACAAAAACAATCCCTATATTGCCCTTAATAAGGAAGAATAGTTTTTTGTTTTGTTGTTTTCGGGCTTCTTAAGCAAGTTGTAGTAAAAGACACCCAAGGACATGCAGGCGTCCCGGCGCCAGCGCCCCAGACGTCGCAGGATCAAAGCCCGGTCAGACGGCCCCCTCACCAACCCTGCAAAGTGCTGGCGTTCCAGTAGTTCAGCAATTTTACACACACACACACACACTGTGTGTGTGTTTGTTTTTTGAGTTCGGGCGGTTCATGGTACGGGGAAGTGTCAGCAACTTGGATTTACGCTCAACCTCGACAGGGCCAACTCTGCGGGTTCAAGAGTCTTGGAAGAGGTGAGTTAGACCCCTCATAATCCTCAGAACCCCTTGTTTGCCGGTAAGTTCCATAACTAAAAGCCCTCAACGCCTGAGATCGCCGGGAAGATCATCACATTCAGGTTTAGGGTTTAGGGTTTAGGTTTTAGGGTTTAGGGTGTTTTTAGTCTTGGAGTTTGGGGTTTTTGGGGCTTTCAGGGTTTTCAGGGTTGTGGAGCGTTTAGGGCTCCGAAGGTTTTGGGCTTGGATCTTGCTGTAGCTCCGGATAAACCCCATTTTCACTTCTGCTCAGAAAACCACTCAAAGCCCGCCATGCGCTCAGAAGCCAAAGCGCTGCCTCGACGATTGCGCACTGCGTGGGCCTGAAAGGGTTTAGGATTTAGGGCTTAGGGTTTAGGGTCGACGTCGAGTTTGGTTCCCAGGTGTGTTTGGGCTTTGGTTTTTCCGTATCAACGTTCGTCAGGTCGACCCCGAGGAAAGAAACAACAGGGAGATTCTCTCAGAGCCTTTTTGGCCTTTGCCTAATCACCTTGCATCTGATGTTGTCAGGGTCGGGACAGAGTGTGGAGCAATGAGGATTTCACTCGACTTGAATTGGATTGGCCGATGGCTCCAAGCTTTCATGTGATTTAGAATTTTTTCGGGTTTTGGAATTGGGATACTTTCTGGTGCTGGCAGTTCAGGAGCCTGAGCCACGATCCATGCAGCGTGTGAGCATCATGCAAATAGATGGAGCAGACATCGGCTCTGGAAGCTACGATCGCGATCGTTGCTTCTGCTACGTTTTTCATTGTCAAGCCCGAATCTAGGACCATTGCCATATTCGAAGAGGAATCAGCTATGAAATTGTTCCTCTTGTATTTTGGGTCGCCTTCTGTTTCTTCGAACCTGCTGGGTAGGATGCAGTTGAGGGTGCAGGTTATGCTTGGGTTCAGGGGAATGTGTAACGTCTTTCCTTGGCAACAGGGACCACTACAAGAAGGATGAATGTGCCAACTAGTTTTTTGGCACCAGCATGCTAGAAAGAGGAATGCAGTTTGCTCGATAATGCTGAGTTCTTTCTACGTGTTGGTCTTGTATAGTATGTATAGTTGCTCTTGTTGTAGCGGTCTGGCGAGGGTTCAAACTTGGATCCCTTCGCCGAGGCTGGTGGAGTATGAAGAAAGGCTCGCCCGTGAGCGGCCGCGGCATGCTTTCTTTGGGGATAAGGGTCGGCTTCTGGATGATCAGCATCACCGTCGCTGCAACACACGAACGTTGACTAGCTGGCTTGCTACGAGAATCCCGCTGTTTTGGCAGCCATCCACGTCTTTGCATCGTGCATGTTGTGGGCTTGATGTTGTCGGTTCGGCCTTTTGAGCCACACTCATATTCATCTGCATATGCCAGGATCGGGGCCGACATCGCCAATGGCGAGACGTTCGGCAGGATCCTTAAATAGGCTGATGTGCAATGCAATGCGGAGTCTGTGGACACGCAGCCCACCGTGTAAGCTATGTCTGACGCCAAAGGCTTCGGCGAGCCGATGGGGGGCGACATCTTCGCGGAGGCGAGGTGGAGGGGGAGTTCTTTTGTTATGGGTCCGACCTGGTCGAGTGTCATCACATGGCGGCGGGGACACTCGTCAGCTGCAAGTATATCCCTATGTGCACTATGTACTGCTTTATTGTTGCGCGTTGCCTGCAAATGCCTACAAGTGCCACAAGCACCTCATGACCAGAACTGCTAGAACTAGCCACCGAGGTTGCGAGTATCGATCTTCGGAGGTTACACCTTCGCGAGGTGGTTGATTCGCACAGCACTCCACCGTAGCTTTATTTCGGATCAATCTCCTGGTGTCCGAATTCTCTAAAAAACTGGGCCGTTGTTGGGGATCTAAGCTTCCAAACGCACGGCATGTTTTTCTCAAAGTCGACATGCCCCATGATCCGCTAGCTGCATGAAGTCCAGGATGCGAGTGAACCCCTGTTGTCAGAAGCTTCCTCGATGATTTCAACAGCAACTTAAAACCCTATACCCTAAACCCTAAACCCTAAACCCTAAACCCTAAACCCTGTAGCTTCAACCCGAAGCCCCAAACTTTTGAAGGTCGTGGCTGCCAGCCTGAAGCTCCGGGAGGCCAGAATGTTGCGGCGCGCTTCATCTTGGGCGAAGAGAGTTCAGAAAAGCAGGTTTAGGGTTTAGGGTTTAGGGTTTAGAGTTTAGGGCCGGAGGACTTGCTCGGAAAACAGGGACAACAAGTTTCAGGAAGTCCGGAAAACTTGCCGCAATCAAGGTAGACAACAGTGGACTGCAGCATCTCCGTCCCGCTGCCTGCGCTTCGGGTGGTGCTTGCTGCTGCCGCTGGTACTGGTCATGGGTCTGCTGCTGCTGCTGCTCTGCTACTCTCTTTTCTTGCTGCCTCGTTTGCATGTGTCTATATACACGTATATATATATATATATATGTATACAGAGCTGTGTGTGTGTGTGTGTTGGTTTTGTTTTTCTTTCCGCCTCTCGTTCGAATCGGTTGCTCACCGTTTTTGATGTTGTGTGTTGCTTCCTAGTTTAGTGTCTATTGTTTGCTGACCTCTTCCCCGGTTGTTGGCTTTCTCTCGGCGCTTTCGAGCCTGTTTCTGAATTCTCCGCGACTGCTCTTTCTGAGTCACCCTCCTCCCATACATCTAGCGTGGCCACCACTGGTATACACGAGAATGTTGTGACCGATTCCGGTGTTTTTTTCAGGACCTCAGACTCGTTGCACATTTGAGAGACGAGTTTGGGTCAGGGGCCCCCTGACGATTTTCACTCCTAGTGATCTTCAAACTGTTGGTTTCTTCGCTCAACGTGTTTCCTTCCATTTCCGGGAAAGGCAAACGATTTATGGCTTGTTTCGTCTTGATCGACAAGACAGTTTAAACTGCATTGGTTAGAATTCCACAATTTTTGCAATGGGTTGTGTGAGTTCCATTACTAGAACTATGTCTTTTGGGAAAGAGACACAACTGAGCCTGCTCAAAACCCCGGAACTTCGGAATGCGTGTGGCAGCATGATGTTCGAAAACTCGTGCCAGCTCCTAAACCAGACGCCTTTAACCCACATCCCATCGTTTCAGGCATGAGTTCCAGTTCGGAATTTCAGGGTTTGGAGTTTAGGGAGTGGGGTTCCGGGCCGGGAGGAATCCTACACATTGAGCTGTCCCTGAAAACCGTGGGCTTTGGCCATTGGGGAGCAGCCAAACGAACCCTTCAAGCTCCTCAAACTTGCATCGCTGCCCCTCCCCTCCCTCTTCAACCCCTAAACCTGAGCGCGAGACGCAGGGCTGGCTATGGCCTTGGTGCGTGGCCGAGACGGGGGGGGGGGCGAAGTAGCTTGCCATGGAAGGACTTGAAAGGCCGTCCTGTTCAGGTTTTAGGTTTTGGGTTGCAGCCTGTGCTAGGCCTCTCGTCTCACGCCAACATTACGTGACAGCTTTTGCCCGAGGTTTCTCCAGTTTTTCTCGGCCGATGCAGAGGCCCTGGATAAATCTTTGCCTTTGAATGAAGGATGCTGGTGCGTTTTGCTCCGTCCGTGCTCCCTACAGGAGGGATGCGATTGGATGCGATTGAGCTGTGGTCATTTGTGGTGCATTTCCTACTCCATAAACGAGGGATGGTAGACACGCTCCGTCCCTAACCGACGCTAGTTAGACACACGCCAATGCTGATGACGGTTTCAGACTGCATGATAGGCCGCTCAAACCCTAAAGCCCCAAACCCTAGAACCATGAAGCCCAAAGCCGCCAGGCGCCTAGCCAGCAAGGAGAGGCGCCGGCCATGACGGCTGGGCCTTCGCAGGCTCCAAATTGAAGCTCCCGAAGTAGGTCTTTGCCTCCTTCCGTATTCCATACAGGAGGGATGCTAGTGGCTTCGGTGCGTTTCTTCCATAAACACACGCTCCGTCCCTAACCGCCCCTACCCGAGAAATGAGGGATGGTAGTTACTTGTAGGCACGCTCCTTGCTTGTTCCAGTCTAGACTGAGGGACACTGGTTGGACACGCGCCGATGCGAATTAGGGTTTGGGACGCTGCAGGACTGGCCTCTCAGACGACGCTTGCTGTGCAGATTTCTGTTTCCAGGTGGTGGGTTAAAACATTGAATCGCGCTCTGCCCCTTCGGGGAGCCTGGTTTCAAAAGGAGCAAAGCCCCAAACCTGGAACCCAAAAACCTAAAGCCCGCGGCCAGGCGGCAGAAATTCCGCAGGGGGAACTTGAAGCTTTGAGGGCCAGGGCCTCGGTCTTCAGGAGAGGGCTCCCAAAAAAGCGCAGAACCTCGACCCTGAGAAATGTTAGGGTTTAGGGTCTAGGGTGTAACCCCCCCTCCAACCTTAAAGCCTAAGCCGAAGGCATGCCCTCCAGTCATCCGTCAACAAAATCTTGAAGCTCTTCTCCCGATGAATTCGCCGATTTTTTCGGGATGCGTGGCCTTTTTACGTGAATTGATTGTTTGTCAAACGCCGAGCTGTGCCAGGCCCAAGTACAGGCCCTTGTGGGGGCCTCAATCGTTGATTTTGTGGGAGGCTGAAGTTCTTTTTGCATCGTTCTGGGTTAAAGTTATCATCGACCTTCATTCTGACCCTGGACGGTTCACGCCTGAAACCATGAGCTTTAAGCACATTCTACCCTCGGCCCAAATCCCTCTGTGACATTGAGCGCTACATCCGACCTCGTCTCCTCTCGTCTACTCTCCTCGCCCATCTAGCTCCCACTACCCACTCTCGAAGAATTCCGGCCAAGCAAGACAGTCTTGTTGAGGCTGGCCAGCTGCGCGCGCTGCAGATCTGCGCAGTCCCCATCTCGTGAACGGGAGGTGGGGGCGGTCACCGTTGTTGAGGTTTGCGTATGGTCAGTTCTCCAAATTGTGGTCCCTTTGTGGGGCCAGGTTGGTTAGCCACAATTGCGATGGCCAATTCTTGCATCGGGATCACACTCCACCCAAAGGACCGAGTGGCACTCAAGATATCGGGGAATGACACGCCTGACGGGAAGCCTGAAATGCGGAAATGATACACTTCATCCCGATATTCTCCCATCAAGCTGCGGATCACCAGCAAGCCAATATTTCCTAGCTTCAGCGATGTGAGCGTCTTCAACGCGAATGTACTTTGCACCTTGTGTTGCAAATGCACCCAAGAGGATGATTTGCGCAGAATTTTGCCCCGACCTGCTGTGTGGAAGATTCCAGGCTGTTGTTGGCACCAACGCTCTGCGCATATCTGCGCATCACATACCCGCTCCCGTAAACAACTTTATGCGAAACAGTTTGATCCGTGAGGCCAGCTGTTTCGATGAGAGCTTCAGTGTAGCAACTAAAGGCCGCCGCGCTGGCGTAGGATTTCTGATCGGCCGCTGCCGCGTCAACTTCCCGGAGCTCGAAGTAGACAACTAATTTTGCTTCAGCTCTAGCTCGGAGTTGTCAAACGACCTGCGCAGGAAATCAGCCTCGTCCAAAGCCAAATTCATAAGTGTGATTGCCCCACTCTCATCCATATGGCTGACGTCATCACGCAGTGTGAGCACAAGCTGTGAAAGTCTTTGGTCTTGGGCGCCCATTGAAATGAGCTTCTGCTGCGCAAAACCTTTCACAATCAGCATGGTGCGTAACGTAGATAGTTCGGAGCCCTGATGCAGTTGGTGAACGATACCCCCGTGGAGCTCTCATGGATCTATAGGGAGCGCCAACTCTTTGCAATCTGCCAACTTCAAGCCAGCTCTATTGCCACTCCTTTCCCACAGAGCCCTTTTGGGAAATGCACTGCTACCAGGACAGTTTAGCCACTCTTGCAAACAAAGACGATCTGTCATAACACGAGTTCCCATGTGGGTAGACACTGGAACTTGACACAACCAGGCAAGCCACCAAACCACACAAACAAAGGTACCCATTAGTGCCTCCTACCCAAGACCTTCCAGCTAACACCGCGAGGAGGTTGGAACCAAGGTAGACCTCAGAAGCCACAACGCATCCTGCCGTCTCAGCCAACAAAGTTTATGACTAGTTGGGTCGCCACAAGCCCGCACGTTTACCCTTCTTGCGTAAGAACTTACAGTTCCAACAAGAACTTACAGTTCCAACCCAAAGCAAGGACGGACACAGCCATAAATCTTGAAACCCGGGATGGGGGTGCAAGACTTAGCTATGTATGACTGTAGCTGACCCCTGCAGCAGGGTTAGGCCTGAGGATCCCTTCCAGATGGTAGTGCAGCCAGGCCGTTGCCAGCCGCATTGCCGCGGCGGCGCACAGCATGGCTGTGCAGGTGCGCAGCTTTTTGCACGTGACTGGAACATGTCAGCGTCCACACTTCGGGCTCAGGCACTGCTGGCGCGGGCGTCACTTGCCCACCTGCAGGCACGCGTTTGACAAGAGCCACCTGCTCAGTGTCTAAACCCCTAGCCCCAGACCATAACCCGAACATGCCTAGAACTTGTTCTGGGGTATTGAGAGTTGGATCCTTTGAATTGAGGTTGGATGGGATCGGGTGGAAGCAGGCCTTCGGGTTCGGAGTTTTGGAGTTCAAAACAAGGCCGAGGAAACGACCAGCGAACCCAAGAACACAAGCCGGTTCCATCTCAGATACGTCGAAGTTCGGGTTCTCCCCTGCAGCGACTGTGCACCGCTTGTGGTGAGAACCCTAAACCCTAAACCCTAACCCTAAACCCCAAACCCCAAACCCCAAACCCTAAACCCTAAACCCTAAACCCTAAACCCTAATCCCTAAACCCTAAACCCTAAACCCTAAACCCTGACCCTCAACCCTAAACCCCAAACCCCAAACCCTACAACCTAAACCCTAAACCCTAAACCCGAAGCCCTCAGCCCTAAACCCTAAACCCTAAACCCTAAACCCTAAACCCTAAACCCTAAACCCTAAACCCTAAACCCTAAACCCTACCCGGAAATGGTCATCGAGCGTCCGACAGACAAGTCAACCTCATCCCTCAACCAGACTAGGAATACGAAGTGAAGTGGAATATGTTCTGGCCGGCCTGCTTGGGAGGCCGAGCTGGCGGAGTCTCGAAGCGAGGCCGGCGCTGCCTTGCATTTGCAATGAGCTGAAAATTTAGTTGCGCGAATGCATCCTATAAGAGGTTTCCTGCTTGAGCGTCTTCCCTTCTGCCAGGTCTCCGCCCTTCGTGCTGAGCTGGCCACCATGTGGCAGGCGGATTCGTGTCATAGCGTTTGACGTGCCGCTGTGGGACAATTTGGAAAGATCTTCCCAAGAAGTTCCCCTCCCTTCATGCTGTCCAGGACCCAGCGCCTACGTTCCCAAGGATGCTTGTCCGCGTGCGCGTGCTAGTAGGCTGACCTGCTGGCCCAGGCTACGGCTGCAGCTATGGGCGCCAACCAGCAAGGCCCGGCGAGAAGTCACAAGTCGGGCTTATGTTTAAGGTTCGACCCCCCGACACCCCCCAAATGAAACGACGACAAGACACAGTTAATCCTGCTGTTCGGGTTTAGGGTTTTGGATAGGGGATGGAGAATGGGATGGTTCCGGGCAATGACCCAAATGTTCAAGGAGGTCTCCAAGTACGACCCTCCCGACCACACCTGAACCCTACCAAGCCCTCCTGCCTACTTGCAAAGCCCAAGCTCCACGGAGGCCCCCCATCTGCTCCTAAGCGCTGCAGCGCACCCTAACCTAGAGTACCCGGGCCTGTCCCCTAAACCACGTTACCCCAATCAGAGTTCTCCCTTAAACCACGTGAGTCTCCGTTACAAGCCCTTCAACGCCCTAAGTCCCCTACCCTGGGAGCCTGACGCCTGCTTTGCCCAGAACTCAATGTGGCAGCAGCGAAGCCGCCGGCCTTGCCTGTCTTTTGCGAGGCGGCATTTCTCTGGAACTGCGTTGGAATTCGCAAAACCCTCAAGTGCTTGGCAGCACCCTGAGAACTGTCCCAGAACCAGACCCAAGCTTCTGCTTGTATAGATGCGCAGTCTGCAGGTCTATAAGCTAAGCTAAGTTTCACGAGATAGGCCTTTCCCTTCACGTCGCAGGTGGCGCAACGTGCTCCATCCTTGCGCACGTCCTCCTTGCATGTGCTGGGTCGACGCGTCGCCCTAAACCCTAAACCCTAAACCGAAACCCTCAACCCTCAGAAGCCCTAAACCCTAAACCCTAAACCCTAAACCCTAAACCCTAAACCCTAAACCCTAAACCCGAAACCCGAAACCCGAAACCCTAAACCCTAAACCCTAAACCCACGACGCGTCGACTTGGCTTCTCATCTTCGATGGCCACCGATGCTGGCCAGATGGAATTGAAGGGCCTCTTCTCGGAAAGGCGAGGCAGCGTAGCAACGTGGACTGGTGGTCGGTTGGCGACCAGTTGAGTGCCAGTCACGCAAGTGTGCATTGTGAAATGCAGAATTTGGGAGGGCGACCGGCCCATGTCATTGTATCTACCCTAAACCCTAAACTTTAAACTTTGTAGTTGCTTTCCTGGTGCAAGCCTTCCCTCCAATGCAAGTGCTTGCAGCGATGCAAAACACTGCATGCGGCAGCTGCGTGGTCACGAGTGAGGGGTGCCTCTCAGCTTGTCATATTGTAGGAACACGGCTGGAGTTTCAATCTGATCAGTGTTGGACCTTGTTGTTTTTGATGTATTTGACAGGTCAGTCTCAATTGTTGCTGCAGCCGCTTTGAGCGCCCTGTCTTGGGGCTCCTTCAAGGTTGCCGTTCAGGTGTCCTTGAAGGAGCCAGGTTAGGCTTGGCGGAAGCGGAACAGGGCATGATTGTTTTGCAAAAGAATCGTTTCGGAGTTTATTTGTTCGGGCTCATCTTGGAGGATCTAGCAGGATGTGCTTCGTGTCGGTGTACCCATGTCGGCCATTTAGGTGGGCGTTTCACTGAATTAGGGCCATGGCTCCCAAAGCATGGGGGGAAGCAGGCCAGGATCGTGCTTTCAGACCCCAAGACCTTAAACAAGCTACTTCAACGGCCAAATACACGCTGCCTGGCACACTTGTGAGCGTTGAGCCTGGCACCCGAGAGATTCGAAGCGACTGCAAAGCTGGTGCTGGAGGTGGCGACCCACCGCTTCCCACCACTGCCCGGGGCTCCTGGTTCCCCAAGAATGTGGAGTGCGAGCTCGAGAAATTCCGGCCGCGAGCCCGGATGTATTTTCTTGAAGCCGGTGAGGCGATGAGTTCTTCCCAGCCCATGAGGACGGAGCTGCGGAAGTTGCGGCCAGCGCCTGGGGGCAGCACAGAGGCGCAGATCCCTGTGCATTGCCTGAGGCCTGCTGCGGATTTTCTTGGGTGCAATTGTGAGACTGCGCTGCTGACGTTGACGCTCTGTCCTGCTTCCTTTGATGGGTCATGAAACGTGGCAGATTGCCTTAGGCATGTCTTTCGCCAGTTTGATAATCCAGGTGGTGTGTTCGATGGCTTCGGTTTCTGGAGACGGCAGTCGGATTGCGAAGAGATGCTGAGGACCCGAATCTTATGTAGGTCAAATGCCCGAAGCCCACGGTACCAAAGCATGGACGAAGCCTGTCAAGTTCCTGAAGCCATGCTCCGGTTCCTTTTATTTTCCCAACATGAGAAACCCTGCCCTGCAGCACAGGCGTGCCACAAATGCCCTGAAGCGCCAGAAGCCTCTCCAGAAGTTTCCCAACCCACCCCAACTCCCTAAACCCTAAACCCTAATATTTCCCACTCACATCCGAAATCAGATGGACCCACGATGCCATCAACAGCCGGATGATCTTCAGTGGCGGGCGGGGCGAGGACTCCTCGATCTACAGTATGGCCGGGGGCCCTTCTTGGCAGTTCTTGGGCTTAGGGTTGGGTTTAGGGTTTG